TGTCTTCCTCGGTACCTCTCCTGCACACCAGGGGAAAGCGGCTGCCTTCTCACCTGCAGGTCAGAATGTCTGGCGTGTGCACCCAGGGATTTGGGATTTGGGCCTGTTGGGAGGATGCTGACAGGTGGGGTTGGCTACAGGGCTGAGGTGAGCTAGTAGCTCACGGTAACTTGGCCACCAGGCCGGGTGGCGAGTGTCGGAACCCACAGTCCCCTTTCTGCTCCTGGAGAGACAGGAAATGTCAAAAACTAGAGTCTGACTCCGCCCCCACTGCTGGGGACACGCCCTCACGGCTGGTCCCCAACCGGGCAGGCCCACTCGATCTGAGTGCAGAGCAGACGGATCAGGACAAACATCTCACACTCAGAGCAAGACCTAAACCAACGTGGGCAAGACGCACCTCTGGCTGTTTGGATACTTTCCCTGGGGGTCAGAGAAGACCCAAGCAACGTTCAAGAACAAAGCGACCAGCAGAGCCAGGTAGGAGGCTGCCCTTCTGTGCCACCAATTAGAGCCCACTATCCGGAGTCAGGTTATTTCTACTGCCAACAGCCACACACAGCCACACACACAGAGCCACATACACAAAGCCACACACACAGAGCCACACACACGGAGCCACACACACGGAGCCACACACACGGAGCCACACACACGGAGCCACACACACAGTCACACACAGAGAGCCACACACACAGAGCCACACACACGGAGCCACACACACGGAGCCACACACACGGAGCCACACACACGGAGCCACACACACAGTCACACACAGAGAGCCACACACACAGAGCCACACACACGGAGCCACACACACGGAGCCACACACACGGAGCCACACACACGGAGCCACACACACAGTCACACACAGAGAGCCACACACACAGAGCCACACACACGGAGCCACACACACGGAGCCACACACACGGAGCCACACACACGGAGCCACACACACAGCCACACACACAGTCACACACAGAGAGCCACACACACAGAGCCACACACACGGAGCCACACACACGGAGCCACACACACGGAGCCACACACACGGAGCCACACACACAGCCACACACACAGTCACACACAGAGAGTCACACACAGGGAGCCACACACACGGAGCCACACACACGGAGCCACACACACGGAGCCACACACACAGCCACACACAAAGTCACACACAGAGAGCCACACACACGGAGCCACACACACGGAGCCACACACACGGAGCCACACACACGGAGCCACACACACAGTCACACACAGAGAGCCACACACACAGAGCCACACACACGGAGCCACACACACACAGCCACACACACACAGCCACATACACAGTCACACACACACACACACACACATGAGGCCATAACTTACAGCTGAAATTCTTGGGACAAAGGTGAAAAATACAGCTGTGCAGACTTTTCGGAGTGAGTTGAGGTGGATGAGGGGGGCTGGTTGTCACATTAAGTGAAAACTGGGGACCGGGCAGCCCAATGGGCACAGGCAGCTGGCCGCCCCCTCGGGACGCTCCAGGTCCCAAGTGAGGAAACCTCGCCCGCAGCAAGGCCCTTGGGCAGGAAGGTGTCCCAGGGAAGGAGCCACGGCCGTCACGTGGAGCTGGTGGCCGCTGTGAGCCACCAGGAGTTCAGCGGAGAAGGAGAGTAAGAGGCCCCTTCGCCGGATTCTGGGGAGTAAAAGCCCATCTGCACACGTCACGCAGAGGCACCAGCCTCCTCACTTCCAGGGGTGTGTAAGCAGCTGAGAGGCTACTTTTCCAAGAGCCCAGGACAGTTTTTTACTGGTTTCGTAGCCACGGGAAAGCGAGCCCTGGCCGGTGTGGCTTGGCGGTCGGAGGGTCGGCCTGCGCACCGAGGGGTCGATCCCGCCCGGTCCGGGCGCGGGCGCGAGGCAGCCCATCGACGCGCCTCCCTCACGCTGCGTTTCTCTCTCTTCCCCTCCCTCCCCCCTCCCTCCCTTACACTCTTTCTAAAAAAAATCAATAGAAGAAAATACCCTCAGGTGAGGGCTAACTAACTAACAGACAAAAAAGGGACAAGAGCTCCAGCCGCGGAGCCGCGTGACCAGGGCCGACCCGGTGACCGTAGGAGGCGGCGGGATGGACTCGTCCATTCGCGGCAGCTCGGTCGGAGCGCGTGCAGGGGTTGGACCCACGCATTTCCAAGCGCGGGGCCCTGCCTAAGCTTCTCCCCACGCCTCCGTCCACCGCACGTCACGGGGGCCTGGGATCAAGAGATTCAGGGCGCGCGACGTGGGGCCCGGGGGTCCCCTGCCCAGCAGACAGAGAAGCCGGGGAAGCAACACAGTTATTAATTTCGCTGCTGATCCGGGAGGAGGAGGTGTTGGCAGCCCCCGTGAGGACACGGGAACATAACCGAGCCTGCAGAGGTCGCGGCTGGGACATGACATCTGAGTCCCTGGGGACGAGGGGGGGTGGCTCCGGGGGAAGGACGACATCTGGATGCCGGTGGTGATGACTGCGGGGGCGGCCTCCATGCACCTCGGTGACAGAGCCGCCGTCTCCGGGGCTTGCGGCTCCAAGGTGAGCGGAGAGGGCAGGAGCCTGAGTGGCAGGAGCTCAGGGACAGACGGCGGGAGGTTCGCTGAGGTGGCCAGCGGCCAGCAGCAGGGGGCACAGCGTCCCCGGGGGGGGGGTTCAGTACCCAGGACACTGCCTGGTCTACGGGGTGGCGAGGGTGTGGTTCTGCACGGGGTTGGCCACAGGCAGGAGGCTCTGGCTGCCCACTCGGAGGGGCCAGGGCTGTGCCCCAGGGTGACAAGTCCTCTGAGTCTTTTCCAAGAGCCTCTGCTCTCCCGTGAGCCCCCCAAACCTTGCAGGTGTCCCAGGTGGAAATGCTTGTGGGGTGACTGGGAACCCTGCACCCCGGGGAATGGGGCTGGCATGGAGGGGAGGTGTCTAAAACATGCCGAGGACGTGAAGAGAGAAATCTGAGAGGCCCCGATAGGCCCCCAAAAGAAAGCAACCGCCGTCTGCGTATTGGGAAGGGGCCTTCTGATCCTGGGGCAGCGCTGGGAAGACAAACACTCTGCTCCCTCTGCCCCTTTGCCTCGCTTTCCCCAGAGAGGAGGGTCTCTCACTGGACTGGCCGCGTCCCTCTGGCCCCCGCCCCAGTGGGGATGGGTCCCTTCCCGCTTCTGCCCCCGCCCGGCAGAGCTCTCCCAGGGAAGGCCTGGGCCAGTTCCCCCGTCCCCAGCCTCACCGTGTGGCTGTTCACTGGGTGAGGGGCCACCCCTGCAGCTCAGCTGACTTGTCCCCAGGCCTGGACCTGGAGGCTGGGTCGGGAAGCCCAACAGAGCCCCCAGACACTGACATCCTCCCCCGGTTCCCCCAGCACACTCTGGGCTGCCTCTAGATGGGTTTAGAGCTCAGGTGCGGGGAGGTGACAGGGTTGATGACCACCCAGCTACACCGGGTCCCAGACATCGGCGACACGGGATCCGAGAAGGGGGGCCTCTGCTGGGAGACATGTGAGGCTGCGGATATCTAAGCAGTTTCCACGTCCAGAAGGACAGTCCCCTCGAACGGGATTAGGAGAAGCACTGGCGTCTTGTCCCTTTCCGGCTCCGGGCCAGTGGCCCTGCCAGGCCAGGGTTCCAGCCTCCTCCGCCCGGAGAGCGCCCTGGTCTCCTGGGCGGCATGTCCGCAGCCGCTAACGAGCCGGTCAGTGGTTCTGAATGCACACGCATTCTCCGTGACCCCGCGGGGCCGGGATTAGTGCCAGGGGGGATGCAGTGCTTCTGCAGGAGATGGGACACAGGGGTGGCTGTGTCTTTAATTCTGCAGGAGGTGCAGGCGGCTGGAGCTGCAGGGTCTCAGCAAACAACAGGCTGCAGAGGGACACGCAGCCTAAAGCCTGGAGGGTCGGAGCCCGGGTCTCCTTCCCGGTCACCAAGCCAGAAAACAGCCCTGCCTCGCGGCCATCACCAAAAAGGCTTGTGGGTTTCGTTTTCGGGGCCAGGGGGAGAAAGATGGGAAGACGCCGAGCTGCTGGCTGACGTGGGGGGAAGGGCCTCGGGGAGCTAGGACGGGCTAGGGAGCAGGTCCCCCCAGAGCCCCAGGAAGGACCCGGCCCGGCCGACACCAACGTTAGGGCTCCTGACCTCCGGGACCCGGAGATGACGCACTCAAGCTGCTTTAAAGCACTAAGTTTGTTTCTGCAGCAATGGAAATGAACAGCAGGGCTCACCAGAGACGGCAGACGGGAGGACGGCGCACTCAGGACGCTGACAGAGCGACAAGTCCCAGCTGCGGTGGGCGGGCGGCCCTGCGGCCTGGTCTGTCCGTTTGCCCCAAGGCGGCCGCGTGTTTGCGAGCACGCGGGCACCGCGCTCCGCCAGGAGGAAGGTGCGGGGCACGGAAAACGCTCCGCCCGAGGAAGGCACGGGGACCAGGGAAGCCCAGACACGAGCTGGCCGAGTGGCCTCGGTGGCCCGTCCCCCTCCGTGGCTCATTTGTGGATGCGGGAAACTGGACTAGAATCCCTCAAAGGTTCCCGTCCTCAGGTGGATACTAGGACTGGCGATCATGGGTGGGGGGCCTGGACAGATCATCTGGTCCGGCCTCCCCCGCCAGGCAGGCGGCGGGAGACCCTGTGAGGAGCAGCAGCACCTGCGCAGCCGCCTGGACCCCGACTGCTGACTAGGTGGGAACAGCTGCCACGGCGTTTCCCGCGCGTGGACTAACGAAGGTGTGGGCGCTCCGTGGCCTCCGCCTTGCGCCGTCGGTTCCGGGAAGCAACGTGTTGAGAAACAGGGGCCTTCCAAACCGCCAGTGAGGACAGTGGCTCCGCAAAGCCCCTCGCGTGGATCGGGCCGAGGCCCCACCAGGGAGCCACTAAAGCCTCTGCTCACAGGGGAGCCGTTTCCATCTCCGGCTGTTCCCCAGACCTGAGCCCCCAGGTGCTCAGCGCGCCCCCGGGGGCGCTCTCTCCAGAGCCGCTGTGGAAGGGGTGGCCTACCTGCCAACTCCTTTTCAAAATAGGGCTGGATGACCTCGCCGTACATGGTCTTGTCGGCCACGGCCTCCTTCAGCAGCTGCCCACAGCAGACTGGAGAGAGGAACAGAAAGGCGCCCATTACGTTTCCAGCAGGAGGAAGACTGACAAGAAAGAAAAGAAAGAGTGCTGCCCGCGAGGGGAAGGGTCGCTGGAAACACGCAAGGGTTTCCCGAGTGTGGGTGTGTGTCCCAGGAAAGGAAATATTAAAAAGGAATTGGCAAATAAGAGACCGAGGAGGAAGATGCAGAATGAGAAAGAATTCATTTGGCAAAGAACGTGTTAAAAATGGATGGTGTGGGGAAGACACAGCAGGGCCTGGGTGCGCCCGGAGCCTCCCAGCGGGGTTCTGGCAGGCCGAGGGCTAGCGTCCGGCGGGGGAACCGCGTGGGCCCAGCAACGTGCCCCGCGTGCTCTCCTCTCACTGTTCCTGCTGGGGCGGTGGGGAAGACGCTGCTTCCAGTCAGCGAGGTGCTCCCACGGGATGACTTGTTGGAGGGAATGTGCCCTGTTGGCCCCCCTGTGACTCAGGCGGCATCCTGGAGCGCCCTGACCACTGGAGAGCCCTGACCACAGGGGAGCCCTGACCACTGGAGAGCCCTGACCACAGGGGAGCCCTGACCACTGGAGAGCCCTGACCACAGGGGAGCCCTGACCACTGGAGAGCCCTGACCACAGGGGAGCCCTAACCATGGGAGAGCCCTGACCAGGAGAGTGCCCTGACCACGGGGGAGCCCTGACCACGGGGGATCCTGACCACAGGAGAGCCCTGACCACAGGAGAGCCCTGACCACAGGAACACCCTGACCACGGGAACACCCCGACCACGGGAGCACCCTGACCTTGCTGTAACCCCCTTTGGAGTCATAGTCAAGCAATCAGGGCCCTTTCTGTCACGAGCCCCCACGAGGTGTTTCTAGACCTCAGCCAAGGCCAACACTCAGGGGTGTCGGTCAAGAAGTGTGGAATGAAAGCCTGTAGCAGCCAAAGCTGAAGGTTCGAGCTATATTTTCGTGAGTTGTTAATTGCACAATCTTGCTTTTCTTAATCTTAAGGCCAAGGAGTTTTCTTCCAATATTAAAGAAACAAACAAACAAACCAACAATCCTAAAATTCACTGAATGAAGTGAATGCTTAAGACAACAACCATCACCAGACTCCGTCCTCAGTGAGGACAGGCTACCTTCACGTGGAGACGACAGCAGTGACTGTCCTCGGACGGCCGCAGCCTCACTCGCTCAGGGAAACAGGAGCAGAGCAAAGGCTGCTGGTCACCGGGACCTCTCCATGTGCCAGGTGCCGGGCGCCGTGCCAAGCGGGCTTTGTCTTAGCCCTCATGACAACCTGCTGGTTCTGGGTGAGGAAAGGGACTCGAAGAGGTGAAGTCCCCTGTTCTGGGTCACGGAGCCTGTTAGCAGCACCGCTGGGGTTCGAACCCAGGTCTGTGTGGCATCAAACCCATGCTTAGCTTCAGTTCTGGCCATGAAGGGGGAACAGGCATCACGGCTATCTTCTATCCTAAAAAGCTGTGAAACAACATGAAGCAACTCTTTCCAGGCACAGCGGACACCAGGGCTGTGATTCTTAGGAGGAGGGACACACGGAGCCCCACATCCACCCTGGTTTTCCTGCCCATGGTCACTTTCCAAACCGCAGCACAGGAGAAGCGGAGACCAGACAGTGAGCGGGAAGCAAAGATCGGGTCCTGGGCTCTGAGACAGCCGGAGTTCCGGGCGCAGGGTAATGGAGAGGAGGGAGCTGTGCAGCGAGGAGTCCCAGGGACCTGCGGGGGGTCCACTGGAGTCCCTGGTTTGGGCAAAGCTGCACACATGTGGGGTGAGACCTCACGAGGCCCGGAGGGTAAAAGCTGCCGGGGAGCCGTGAGCTGAGTGGAGGCTCACACGGCGCGGGAGACGCCGGCATTCTGACAGCCGGACGCCCCGACACGGAGCTGAGACTCCAGGAGGCCATGCCTGTGGTGTAGAGAGACCCCAGCCCCAGAGTGAGTCCAGTCTGGTCCCACCTTCACAAAACTGAATAGAAGCCTCAACGGGGTCAAGTGGATCTGGCACTGGATTCACCGTGTGATAAAACCCAACCCCTTTACACTCAGTCTTCTTAAAGCAAGACACACAAACCAGACTCTCAGCAGTGTGAGAACCACGATGTCCAGCGTGCAATAAAAAACTACCTGAGAGGCCACAAAAACAGGGAAAAGTGAGCCCTATAAGGACAAAAGAGGCCATAGAACCAGACCAAGAGATGACACAAAAGTCAGAATTAGTGCACGAGGACTTCAAAACAGCTACTATAAATATGTTTAAGACTTCAAGGAAAAGGTAGTTAATATGAGTCACCAGACGGGTAAATCTCAGCAGAGAAATGGAAAGTATAAAAAAAACAAAAAACAAAAAAACAACAGATGAAATTCTAGAACTGGAGAACACTGAGGATGGGCTTGCAAGTAGTGAATTTGGAGATGGGAAAAACAGTCCTAGAAAGTATCCAAACTGAGGCAAAGAGGGGGTTGGAGGAGGGGATGGAAACAAAAAGCAGAGCACTGGAGAATAATATCCAAAGTCTAACATACATGTAATTGGAGTCCCAGAAAGAAGAGAGAGGGGTGGGGAGAGGAAGACAAAAATATGTGAGAAAATATGGCAGAGGAATTTCAAAATCTGATGAAAAACATGAACGCACAAATCCAAGAATCTCTGAGACCCACGAAGAACAAATACAAAGGAAACCACACCCTGATGCATCACAGTTAAGTTTCTGAAAACCAAAGACAAAGAGAAAATAGGAAAAGCAGTCAGAGTGGGGAAGGGTGCTTTATCTACAGGGAAACAAGGACAACAATCACCCGGGGCCGCATCGGAAGCCACAGACAGAGGAGCGACACCCTTAACGTGCTGAGAGACGGCAGCTGTCACAGCCCCATGTGCACCAAAAACACCGTCCAAGAATGAAGGTGAAACAAAGACATTTCCAGACACGAAAGCGGAGAGAATTTGTCACCAGCAGACTTTCACTACAAGAAATGTTAAAGGAAGGTCTTTAGTCTGGAAGAAAATGATAACAGACAGAGACTTGGATCTACACAAAAGACAGAAGAGTGTTGACATGTAGGCGTAGGCAAGCGCCTTTCTCCCCCGCATTTCTTGACTTTTAAAAAGAGACCGTATAAAGTGAAAGCAATTACAGCACATTGAAGGGCGTACGAGGTAAGTACAGGCAACGTGCCTGACAAGAGCACAAAGGACGGGGCAGGGCGAAAGGGGACACCCCGCTGGGAGGTTATGTTATGCACGGAGAGGTGTGATACTAAGTCACGAGAGACTGGGGTAAGGATTACTAAAAAATATCCGGGTAGGAGAAACAAGCTGGCGGCACAGGGAGCAGCTGCCCCGCCGCCTCCCGCAGCCACATCAAACGTACAGCTAAAATACAGAACCGCCGTCGCTCAGGGCCTCTGAGATCCGGCTGCACAGAAGCCCCGCAGCCAGGGACCTGAGGAAGCACCGAGATCGGGAGGAGGGGCGGAGACGGGCGGATCGGGGCTGAATCGCGGCTGAATCGCACAGACGCGGCCACGGGCCCACACCCGGTGCCTCGGGTTAAAGNAGACCGGGAGGAGGGGCGGAGACGGGCGGATCGGGGCTGAATCGCGGCTGAATCGCACAGGGGCGGCCGCGGGCCCACACCCGGTGCCTCGGGTTAAAGCCGGGAGGGCATCTCAGCGGTGGGGGTTTCCCGGAGGAGGGAGGGGTCCCGGCCCCACATTGGGCCCCCAGCCCAGGGCTGCTCCAGGGCTGGGAAGAGAAGCCCCATAACTTTGGGCTGTGAACCCAGCGGGGACTGTCCCTGAGGGTCCCGGAGGCTCCGGGAGCCCCAGCAGCTCCTCTAAAGGGCCCGGCACGGACTCACTCGGACGCTCCCTCTGAGCCCAGCGCCGGGAGCAGCCGGAAAGGACCCGGGACACCCGGGGAGGAACTAACCTGCCTGGAATTGGGGCCAGAGCAGGAGGGGCAGCTTCCTCCCAGGCAGAAGGGCTGGCGGAGGCCATGGCTCCTTTGGCGAGTCCTCCCCGCACACAGCCGGCGGGCAGGCACCATGTTTGAATCGCCAGCACCTGACTCTCACCTTTGGCCCCGCCCCGTGATTCCCGGAGGCCCCGCCCCTCCCCACCTGCAGCTCATCCAGGCCATTTCCAGGGGCTTTCTGTGCAAGTGGCCTCTAAAGCGTCGTGCTTAGGACTTTCCTAAAATCTCTCAATCAAGCAGCAGCGGGCCCCATACAGCTTGATAAGTGGCCCCAGGCCTGGCACTAGCGGCAGCCTGCACTGGCTC